AATGTATTCAGTGCTCAAAGTGTGTAATGTAATCAGTGCTCAAAGTGTGTAATGTAATCAGTGCTCAAAGTGTGTAATGTAATCAGTGCTCAAAGTGTGTAATGTAATCAGTGCTCAAAGTGTGTAATGTAATCAGTGCTCAAAGTGTGTAATGTTAGCAGTGATCAAAGTGTGTAATAATCAGTGCTCAAATTGTGTAATGTAATCAGTGCTCAAAGTGTGTAATGTAATCAGTGCTCAAAGTGTGTAATGTAATCAGTGCTCAAAGTGTGTAATGTAATCAGTGCTCAAAGTGTGTAATGTAATCAGTGCTCAAAGTGTGTAACGTAATCAGTGCTCAAAGTGTGTAATGTAATCAGTGCTCAAAGTGTGTAATGTAATCAGTGCTCAAAGCTCAAAGTGTGTAACGTAATCAGTGCTCAAAGTGTGTAATGTAATCAGTGCTCAAAGTGTGTAATGTAATCAGTGCTCAAAGTGTGTAATGTAATCAGTGCTCAAAGTGTGTAATAATCAGTGCTCAAAGTGTGTAATGTAATCAGAGCTCAAAGTGTGTAATGTAATCAGTGCTCAAAGTGTGTAATGTAATCAGTGCTCAAAGTGTGTAATGTAATCAGTGCTCAAAGTGTGTAATGTAATCAGTGCTCAAAGTGTGTAATGTAATCAGAGCTCAAAGTGTGTAATGTAATCAGTGCTCAAAGTGAGTAGTATAATCAGTGCTCAAAGTGTGTAATGTAATCAGTGCTCAAAGTGTGTAATGTAATCAGTGCTCAAAGCGTGTAACGTAATCAGTGCTCAAAGCGTGTAACGTAATCAGTGTAATGTAATCAGTGCTCAAAGTGTGTAATGTAATCAGTGCTCAAAGTGTGTAAGTGTGTAATGTAATCAGTGCTCAAAGTGCTCAAAGTGTGTAATGTAATCAGTGCTCAAAGTGTGTAATGTAATCAGTGCTCAAAGTGTGTAATGTAATCAGTGCTCAAAGTGTGTAATGTAATCAGTGCTCAAAGAGTGTAAAGTAATCAGTGCTCAAAGAGTGTAATGTAATCAGTGCTCAAAGTGTGTAATGTAATCAGTGCTCAAAGTGTGTAATGTAATCAGTGCTCAAAGTGTGTAATGTAATCAGTGCTCAAAGTGTGTAATGTAATCAGTGCTCAAAGTGTGTAATGTAATCAGAGCTCAAAGTGTGTAATGTAATCAGTGCTCAAAGTGTGTAATGTAATCAGTGCTCAAAGTGTGTAATGTAATCAGTGCTCAAAGTGTGTAATGTAATCAGTGCTCAAAGTGTGTAGTATAATCAGTGCTCAAAGTGTGTAATGTAATCAGTGCTCAAAGTGTGTAATGTAATCAGTGCTCAAAGTGTGTAATGTAATCAGTGCTCAAAGTGTGTAATGTAATCAGTGCTTAAAGTATGCTATGTTAGCAGTGCTCAAAGTGTGTAGTATAATCAGTGCTCAAAGTGTGTAATGTAATCAGTGCTCAAAGTGTGTAATGTAATCAGTGCTCAAAGCGTGTAACGTAATCAGTGCTCAAAGCGTGTAACGTAATCAGTGCTCAAAGCGTGTTATGTAATCAGTGCTCAAAGTGTGTAATGTAATCAGTGCTCAAAGTGTGTAATGTAATCAGTGCTCAAAGTGTGTAATGTAATCAGTGCTCAAAGTGTGTAATGTAATCAGTGCTCAAAGTGTGTAATGTAATCAGTGCTCAAAGTGTGTAATGTAATCAGTGCTCAAAGTGTGTAATGTAATCAGTGCTCAAAGTGTGTAATGTATCAGTGCTCAAAGTGCTCAAAGTGTGTAATGTAATCAGTGCTCAAAGTGAGTAGTGTAATCAGTGCTCAAAGTGTGTAATGTAATCAGTGCTCAAAGTGTGTAATGTAATCAGTGCTCAAAGCGTGTAATGTAATCAGTGCTCAAAGTGTGTAATGTAATCAGTGCTCAAAGCGTGTAATGTAATCAGTGCTCAAAGTGTGTAATGTAATCAGTGCTCAAAGTGTGTAATGTAATCAGTGCTCAAAGTGTGTAATGTAATCAGTGCTCAAAGTGTGTAATGTAATCAGTGCTCAAAGTGTGTAATGTAATCAGTGCTCAAATTGTGTAATGTAATCAGTGCTCAAAGTGTGTAATGTAATCAGTGCTCAAAGTGTGTAATGTAATCAGTGCTCAAAGTGTGTAATGTAATCAGAGCTCAAAGTGTGTAATGTAATCAGTGCTCAAAGTGTGTAATGTAATCAGTGCTCAAAGTGTGTAATGTAATCAGTGCTAATCAAAGTGTGTAATGTAATCAGTGCTCAAAGTGTGTAATGTAATCAGTGCTCAAAGTGTGTAATGTAATCAGTGCTCAAAGTGTGTAATGTAATCAGTGCTCAAAGTGTGTAATGTAATCAGTGCTCAAAGTGTGTAATGTAATCAGTGCTCAAAGTGTGTAATGTAATCAGTGCTCAAAGTGTGTAATGTAATCAGTGCTCAAAGTGTGTAATGTAATCAGTGCTCAAAGTGTGTAATGTAATCAGTGCTTAAAGTATGCTATGTTATCAGTGCTCAAAGTGTGTAGTATAATCAGTGCTCAAAGTGTGTAATGTAATCAGTGCTCAAAGTGTGTAATGTAATCAGAGCTCAAAGTGTGTAATGTAATCAGTGCTCAAAGTGTGTAATGTAATCAGTGCTTAAAGTATGCTATGTTAGCAGTGCTCAAAGTGTGTAGTATAATCAGTGCTCAAAGTGTGTAATGTAATCAGTGCTCAAAGTGTGTAATGTAATCAGTGCTCAAAGTGTGTAATGTAATCAGTGCTCAAAGTGTGTAATGTAATCAGTGCTCAAAGCGTGTAATGTAATCAGTGCTCAAAGCGTGTAATGTATTCAGTGCTCAAAGCGTGTTATGTAATCAGTGCTCAAAGTGTGTAATGTAATCAGTGCTCAAAGTGTGTAATGTAATCAGTGCTCAAAGTGTGTAATGTATTTAGTGCTCAAAGTGTGTAATGTATTCAGTGCTCAAAGTGTGTAATGTAATCAGTGCTCAAAGTGTGTAATGTATTCAGTGCTCAAAGTGTGTAATGTAATCAGTGCTCAAAGTGTGTAAAGTAATCAGTGCTCAAAGTGTGTAATGTATTCAGTGCTCAAAGTGTGTAATGCAATAAGTGCTCAAAGCGTGTGATGTAATCAGTGCTCAGTGTGTTATTTAGTCGACATTAATCAAGTTAGGCCCATAAAAGGTTACGTAATGAGTGTTCAAAGTAACCAAGTACAATAGGAAAGTGTATTCAAGATAAAACAGTTTCAAGGTTTTAAGATATTTCATCCTTCTGATCATGAAGATCAAGGTCATTTATGTGAAGTACTATGAATTGTACATCAACCCAAACCAGGAAATGCTGATCAAGTACCATTACTTTCTGTTTTGGTAAACTTTTGAGTATTCTTAAAAAAATGACCTATATTATATTAATCAAGTGATCCTTGTTAAGGTAAACAATACAGCACTCCACACACGGTACCTTAATTTTGTATTTATCTTTCAAAATAGGGGATGATTAAAAACCACCATAACTGAATCCAGTCACTTTAGAAGGAAATCATTGATCTTAGGAAACTTCATAACACTCCACACCAGTTACCTGCTGGCCAAATATCAAGGTCTAGAAACAGAGAAGATTCATACCCCTGTTACCTTGATAGAAGGCAAAGAAGGTCAAGGTCACTTTCATAGCATAGCACCCCATCCAAGGTACCTGCTGGCAAAATATTTAAAACATTTTCTTCTGAAATCAGAGAGAATCCCTTCAGGGTTATTGATATACAGTATCCTAAAAAATTTTTAAAATCTAAAGCATGATTAAGAACATTTATTTTGTCACAGAAAATTACATCATTTGGTATCAAACTGGAGGTTAATATTTCCACTGTTTATTAACAGTAGCATCATACATTTATTTCTCCATTAAAATTTGCCGTTCAATATTTGCCAGTTCAGCATTTGCCAGTCCAATATTTGCCATTTAAGGTATGGAAAAGTACAAAAACTAGACAATGGAGAAAAAATTGTGTGATACAATAGTTGGAAGTTCAAATAGGTAATTTGAATGACATTTCTGACTATAAGACAAGGTTCTATAACCTTATGGAAGCACCTCCTAGTACAGTGATATTTTATGCCACATTTTTTTTGTCTTCAGTGTACATTTTTTCCATTTTTTCCCCAAATTTGACAATCTAAATAATTTAGTGAAGATCTTTAGACATCTGTGCACCAGTCACCCATAAGGTTTAGACTAACAGGGAACAGGTTTGTGAGTAGAATATGAAGTAAATGGTCACAAAGAGGTGAAAAACACAAAGCCTTTTGGACCAGTTGAGCTAAAAATAATGCTAATTCATTTTACTGTAATAAGTCCAACCTATCTTTGAGTAAGAAGCAAAGTCTACCCTGAGCTTATTGTCCTTTATAAGTCCATCCAATCTTTGAGTAAGAAGCAATGCCTGCCCCCTGGTCTTGCTTATGTCCTTTATAAGACCACACAACCTTTGAGATAGAAGTAATGTCTGCCCCTCCCCCTGATTGTCATTTAATAAGCCCACTCAATCTTTGAGATAGAAATAATGTCTGCCCCTCCCCCTTATTGTCCTTCATAAGCCCACTCAATCTTTGAGTAAGATGTCTTACCCCCACCCCCCACCCCCCTCACTCTGACTTACTAATTGTCATGCAATAAGTCCACCCAATCTTCAAGTAAGGGGTAATGTGTGTCTCCTGGGCTTGTTGTTGGACAAATACAGTAATGAGCAGTATCCATGGTTACCTGTCATAGCTGCCAGTATTCCTGGAGTTTACCTCTGTGCACTGTCACCATACTGCTGAGTGACATTAAATTCATTACCTCAGTTTATGTTGTATTTATGTTAAAACGTGTTGAAAGTTCAATTAACAATATTTTACATTTGAATAGAAGGCTGTGTATATGTACACGTCTATTTCGAGGTTATCCATTGCAATCTATAACAAGCCTGTGCTCAGTGTCTATAATAATTTTATTTAAGTCTCACCAAACTTAGAGCATCTAAGTGTCAAATTATGATGTTGATACAGCTGTAACCATTCTGATAAAAAAAATCATCAGAATTTCTCTGTAATACTAACAGGATATCATCTGTTATAAAGTCATGATGAAAATGTTAAGAAATCATTGGTGAAAATAACAACAACAAAAACAAGTATAACTGAAAAAGTCTGATTTCAAATAAAATCAAAATTTTACAATTATTTCCAGGTAGAATCAAGCTTAAAACTGAAGGGTAAGCTTTAACAGGTGACAATTTAAAACAGGAAAGTGTTTAATACTACATAGTCTAATTACAAACTATATTATAGATTATTATACATAACCAAATACCACTTTTGACTTACTAAATTATCACTTTTGATCAGTAAATTATATTATTTCCAGAATCAATATTTCTTTACAAACGAGCTTAAAACTTCTAAACATGATAAAAACAATATATGTTCAACTGTCCAAAATTATTAAAAGTTTGGGTTCAGAAATTTAAGAAGTGTTAGAGAAGGCTAAATCATGAAAGTTTATGAAATCAGGTGCAAATCAATTTTCAGAATCTAGAATTGTATACTGACAGGTCATAATTAGAAAAGTAAAACGACATAAATACATGGATCATATGTTTATCATATCATTACAAAAACTCCTCTACTTCATTGTACCTAGGTTCCTGACATCACTACTGCATAAACCTGAAGGCAAAATCCTTTGTAGTCCCAAACACAATGTACACCTTATCAAGGTATTATCACACTTTTTTTTACAATTAATTTAATGTATAACATCATTGCTAAGATTAATCAAATTAGTCTAAAAAAACTGTATTCACAAAATGAGGAAAAATTCTTTACAAGATTGGCACTTAATGTGGCTTTGAAGTCATTGCACAGCAGCAGAATCACACAGGAATCAATATTAAATTCTTACCACAACAACAAGAGCTGTCTTATGTTGAGATGAAAATTAGCACTACGTGTATATACTTTGCGTGTAAAATTCAGTATATCAGACAGAGGAACTGTGCAACTAGTACCACAGAATGCAGTGTCTGGTTGTAATACAAGGGACACCTGCCTTTCACCTAGGTGACCCAGGCAAATTTCCAGATCAGACTTGAAAATGGGTCATCTGTCCATGTGTGTGTTAAGATTTCCCCAAGTATTCTGGCTTCTTTGCTCCAGGCCACCAAGAATTCATGACTGACAAGAGCTTGTTTGATCTACTGCATGGTTGTTGTAAAATACCTTTTGTCAATACCACAAATTGTCGAGGAGATTGAGGAACTAGAAACAAACTTTATTTTTAACAGGACATGAAAGACAAAGACCATTGGGAGGTAGAAATATTATAAAACGCAGTTATAAGCAATCAGACTTGAAGGACAATCCCATCTGCTTAAAGCTATTGAAGGAGGAAAAACCAGTGTAATTACGATAGTATTATGCAGTTCTATTTTAAGGGAGGACAAGAAATCTGTGAGCTTGCTCTAGTCAGGTCACTATGTAGTATATCATAAAATATATTCTGTTATTGAATTAATGAAAAATATCAGGAGATATGTATCTAATGAAAACTGAGCAAAAAAAAATTTCAAGCTGACGTAATAGCAAGGTAGTATATATATATATGTCAGTTTTAGGTAGTCACCCCCAATAAGTAGCCAAAATGATTGAAAATGCAAAAAAGACACCATTACATGCTAAGATTTAACAAAGTATATTGTAAACATCTTGCCACGTCCATCATATTACACATTCTTTGTGTGATTTGTCGGTACATTTCTACTTGAATGTCCTCGCTTTTCCTAATTGGCTCTCACAGATGCAAGATCTTCCACAAAAAGCATCAATCGAGACATAACTTGTCCAAAATGTCAGCTTCAACATCTCTTTATTGTGTGTAAGTTTGGATATAAGTGTCCTTGAATAAATTTATAGACTTTATACCAATACATTTTCATTTCAGTCTAGTCAAGTCAAACAGAAGCTCGAGAATCTGGGTCAATTAGAGACATCATTTTCGTTGAAATGCTTGAATCCTTGAGAGGCTTTGTACATACTGAGATCATCTTGGTCTGTCTTTCAAGACTCAGAAATGCTTCATATGTTTTCTGTAAGGTAAGAAAAGTATAATTACAAATTACTGTATTCTAAACAAGTTCATTGGGCTAAAAAGGTCACAAGCACTTCAGTATTTCATTCTAATTCAGGATAAAAAAATAATTCTGTATGAAATGCTAAAATCAGCCTTCTAATGTTTAGAGATGTGTTGCGCAAAAAAAAAAAGTCAAATTCTAGATTAGTCATGGAAAAATGAGTAGATATATATTGTTATCTTAAAAAACACAATAATGAGCATTATCCTTGATGATATTTTAATGTGCAATTAATCTTTTGTGAATAGTAATCAAGGCTACCCTGTCTAAAAAGTGTAAAATATGCTGATTTTGTCAATACGCTATCCTTTTACAGAAACTAATAATTCAAAACATGCTGATTTGAAGAGAAGTGTAAAACTTGCTGACACAAAGGAAATGTGTAAAGGAAACAGATGGTACATCTACACTAAAAGATGTATCAGCTTACAAAGGATGACAGTCTGTCGAAGTAAAATGTTATCTACAAAATATTATATAAAGCTGCCCCTAAACACTATAAAGCCTTTTTACTTTACCGAAGAAGAGACAGACAAAAAATTCCACATCTGTACATTAATGAAAAGTTAATGAGTCCAAAGAGTTTAACCAAAAAAAAAAAAAAATCAATAAATTAATTTATGATAAATTGACCATAAATCGATTAGTATTATCAATTAGTATAATACATTAATTAGAAAAGCTACAAATAAATCTCCTACACTTTATCCCTTTCTCCTTAACAAACTTGTTCCAACACCTGTAATCTTACTTCAGTGATATAGTGTACTAAAGACTTCCTTAGGTAGGTAGAGGTGAGCTGTACTTGCTACATATGATGTTCAGATGTCGCTGTAGCTGGAAGTCTGAACAGGCATTAACATGCTATAAATCAACTCCTTTAAAATTGATAAGTGAAGTTCATCAATACTCCCATAGTTTGTATCATCAACCACAAAGGCTGTTGGCTAATTAAGCCAATGCTTTATACTGTACAACTAATTACGAGATCCCACGTCACTCCTTACCTGTCTGGGCCTTTCATTACTGGCCATATTCCACAGTCACAGCCTTTGTCTTAAGGTATTCTGTCAGCGCCTCTTGGCCTGTAAGTATGAAAATTCATGTCTTCATCACGACAACTTTATCAGAGTGATTGTCATAAAAATCACCTAAAGCATTGATCCTTTTCAAAGCATATTACCACTATCACGTCAAACCACACAAAAATCTAACAATCTGCTTCTAGGAAATCTTTTGTTGTAGTGCTTTAACATTTTTGCCTACTTTGCTCTTTTACCACCAGGAAAGTTAAAAAAATAGGTGGGTTAAATTTTAATGCTGAAGCTAAAACGTATGTTCTATATACTTTGAGAGCAGCAACTTGGCTAAAATGAATATTTTCTGTGAGTGCAACCAAAGTTCCCCATTTTTATAAATATCTTCCCCCTAAACCCCATTTTGTATATATCCCCAACCAACCATTCATAAATATCTCATAACATATTTCCACTTTGATGAATATTCTATTTCACCAAAACATAATGCTCACACACAAGTGCATCATGAGCAATGTTTACAGTAGAAATCAGGTTTTGTCCAAATGACTAAGACACCTTCCAGGCAACACAATAAACTCACACATGCATCAAGTTTATTCAATTTTTCGTAAACGTAATAACCAAATGGCAAGCTGCCAGGCATTTCACACCCAAAGAAAAATAAGACAGTATTTCATTAGCCTTATTCTAACACTTGTGTCATGTGCCTCAGTATTTACTGAGGAATATCATACCAGGTCTGCCAGCCAATTTTTCTCAGCGTTACCACCCAATTTGTTGGACATTAGGCGGACAAAATCTAATCATTATATAAAGGCATCAAAAGCTCTTGTTAGCAACAACAGCATCAAAAGACTCTGTCATTCCAACCTGATCAGCTCACAGTTAGTTTAATCAGCTCACAGATAGACTGTCTCTCTCTCATACCCTGCCTGATCAGCTCACAGAAAGACTGTCTCTCTCTCATACCCAGCCTGATCAGCTCACAGAAAGACTGTCTCTCTCTCTCTCATACCCAGCCTGATCAGCTCACAGAAAGACTCTCTCTCTCTCATACCCTGCCTGATCAGCTCACAGAAAGACTGTCTCTCTCTCATACCCAGCCTGATCAGCTCACAGAAAGACTGTCTCTCTCTCATACCCTGCCTGATCAGCTCACAGATAGACTGTCTCTCTCTCATACCCAGCCTGATCAGCTCACAGATAGACTGTCTCTCTCTCATACCCAGCCTCACAGATAGACTGTCTCTCTCTCATACTCAGCCTGATCTGCTCATAGATAGACTGTCTCTCTCTCATACCCAGCCTGATCTGCTCATAGATAGACTGTCTCTCTCTCATACCCAGCCTGATCAGCTCACAGACAGACTGTCTCTCTCTCATACCCAGCCTGATCCGCTCACAGATAGACTGTCTCTCTCTCATACCCAGCCTGATCAGCTCACAGACAGACTGTCTCTCTCTCATACCCTGCCTGATCAGCTCACAGAAAGACTGTCTCTCTCTCATACCCAGCCTGATCCGCTCACAGATAGACTGTCTCTCTCTCATACCCAGCCTGATCAGCTCACAGACAGACTGTCTCTCTCTCATACCCTGCCTGATCAGTCTCTCTCTCATACTCAGCCTGATCTGCTCATAGAGAGACTGTCTCTCTCTCATACACAGCCTGATCAGCTCACAGATAGACTGTCTCTCTCTCATACCCAGCCTCACAGATAGACTGTCTCTCTCTCTCATACCCAGCCTGATCCCTCACTGTCTCTCTCTCATAGATAGACAGATAGACTCTCTCTCTCTCTCTGATCTGCTCATAGATAGACTGTCTCTCTCTCATACCCATCAGCTCACAGATAGACTGTCTCTCTCTCATACCCAGCCTGATCAGCTCACAGACAGACTGTCTCTCTCTCATACCCAGCCTGATCACAGATAGACTGTCTCTCTCTCTACCCAGCCTGATCACTGTCTCTCTCTCAGCTCACAGAAAGACTGTCTCTCTCTCATACCCAGCCTGATCACAGATAGACTGTCTCTCTCTCATACCCAGCCTGATCAGCTCACAGACAGACTGTCTCTCTCTCATACCCAGCCTGATCAGCTCACAGATAGACTGTCTCTCTCTCATACCCAGCCTGATCAGCTCACAGATAGACTGTCTCTCTCTCATACCCAGCCTGATCAGCTCACAGACAGACTGTCTCTCTCTCATACCCAGCCTGATCCGCTCACAGACAGACTGTCTCTCTCTCATACCCAGCCTCACAGATAGACTGTCTCTCTCTCATACCCTGCCTGATCAGCTCACAGATAGACTGTCTCTCTCATACTCAGCCTGATCTGCTCATAGATAGACTGTCTCTCTCTCATACTCTGCCTGATCAGCTCACAGACAGACTGTCTCTCTCATACCAAGCCTCACAGATAGACTCTCCGTCTCATACCAGCCTGATCAGTTCACATACTGACCATCTCTTTATAATATACAAGACATGTAAATAGTGATGAGAGATTATTGAGAGAACATGTTTAGTGGTGATAGATATTGTAACAAGATATGAGGTGACTGAATATCTGAACAAAAAATTAAGTGATAATTGTCCTGGATATTGTGACAAAAGGATTATGAGTGGTGACTGGATATTGTGACAAATTAATTATGATGGTGACTGGATATTGTGACAAATGAATTATGAGTGGTGACTGGATATTGTGATAAATGAATTATGAGTGGTGACTGGATATTGTGACAAATGAATTATGAGTGGTGACTGGATATTGTGATAAAGGAATTATGAGTGGTGACTGGATATTGTGACAAATGAATTATGAGTGGTGACTGGATATTGTGACAAATGAATTATGAGTGGTGACTGGATATTGTGACAAATGAATTATGAGTGGTGACTGGATATTGTGACAAATGAATTATGAGCGTTGACAAGAGTCTAGTTCTTATTTTGAACGACGAATTGAAACTGAAGATCATTATCAACATACAAAATGCACATTATTCTGGACTCGTTAAATTTGATCCTACATGCCTCGAGGTAAAACCTTTTGAAGGCCAGTACGTTTCATTGTTTTAATTTATGTCTGTACACTTAACTCTTAGGCAATATATATATTTTTCATAATCCAACACTTTTCTCATGGTGTCAATTTAATCAAGGTGCAACGTTTCAGTATTAGAAGGAACATCACTAATGGCTGCCACAGTAACGTATAATTCTAAATATTCTCACCTGATGAAGACTTTAATCAAAATTTACAGCCAATTTGATTTCACTCTCATCCTTGAACTGATGTAGGAAACTTGTTTTTGAATACTCAGAAATGAGAATAAAGAAGTATGCCATAGATTTTGAAATAAGCAATAAACTTAAAGTGTAAACAAAAATAATTAAGAAATTACATCAGAGGCAATTTGTGTCAAGAACAAGTAAACTGGTGTGGATCACAATGTTTTTTCAGTACTTTCCCACACATTTTTCATTACAGCATATTTGAAGAAGAATCAAGCTTCACCAGAATTTATACATTAATTGATTTAAATTGTGTTGAATACATGCAAGGGAAATACAATTTCATTACCCGCTCATTGATTTAACTGGCCATTCCAGTGACATAAAGGACTGTTCCGGGAATACACTCGAAAAGAAAAAGACATTTTGTGAAGTTTTGCGGCCGTCTAAGTATTATTGAATAACCCAACCCTCCTTGTAGGCATCCCTGGGGACCCATAACATACACATATACCTGACAGCTATACTGTTCAGCCCACAAGACCAGAGAAGCACTGACAATACACACAAACCACAAAGTTGTACAAGGATGGACAGGGACTTACCATCCCACAGCGTGTATGTGGCTGCCAACTTTGCAAAAAACAGCTCAGACAGAGACAAAGTTTTGATAGCTACATCTGAATGTTTTCAGAACATGTAAATATGTGTATCTAGTACTCTAGCTGGTCTATAAAAGCCAAGTTTGATGATAAAAAGTTGATTTGGTCTCAGTCCAACTACACAGTTCAATCACAGCTGTATATTATCAAACTATCCAGTTGTGTATTTATCTGTAGGATGGGAAACAAATCAAATGTTTGGTGTGTGTAAATTTTCTTTTTTACTTTATTTCACTTCAAATTTATCATTATGAGGGGTAAAAAGAGAGGGATGCTTTTTACATTTTGAGATGATCATTCTGGGGGTAAAAAGAGAGAGGATGGTTTTACATTTTGAAATGATCATTCTGGGGGTAAAAAGAGAGGGGATGGTTTTCATTCTAGGGGTAAAAAAGAGAGGGGATGGTTTTACATTTTGAGATGATCATTCTGGGGGTAAAAAGAGAGGGGATGGTTTTACATTTTGAGATGATCATTCTTGGGGTAAAAAGAGAGGGGATGGTTTTACATTTTGAGATGATCATTCTGGGGGTAAAAAGAGAATGGATGGTTTTACATTTTGAGATGATCATTCTGGGGGTAAAAAGAGAGGGGATGGTTTTACATTTTGAGAAGACCATTCTGGGGGTAAAAAGAGAGGGGATGGTTTTACATTTTGAGATGACCATTCTGGAGGGAAAAAGAGAGGGGATTGTTTTACATTTTGAGATGATCATTCTAGGGGTTAAAAGAGAGGGGATGGTTTTACATTTTGAGATGATCATTCTTGGGGTAAAAAGAGAGGGGATGGTTTTACATTTTGAGATGATCATTCTTTGGGTAAAAAAGAGAGGGGATGGTTTTACATTTTGAGATGATCATTCTAGGGGTTAAAAGAGAGGGGATGGTTTTACATTTTGAAATGATCATTCTGGGGGTAAAAAGAGAGGGGATGGTTTTACATTTTTAGATGACCATTCTGGGGGTAAAAAGAGAGGGGATGGTTTTACATTTTGAGATGACCATTCTGGGGGTAAAAAGAGAGGGGATGGTTTTACATTTTGAGAAGATCATTCTGGGGGTACAGAAGAGAGGATGGTTTTTACATTTTGAGATGACCACTCTGGGGAGAAAAAGAGAGGGGATGGTTTTACATTTT